TTCATAGTCTTGACTGCGGCTGCACTTTCTCGCGTAAAGGAAAGGTCAAGCGCTGTCAATGAAATCAAAGCATCGATCATCAAGGTCTGCTCAGATAGGTCTATCATAGATTCTATTCTCAATATTCGCCTAGCACGTTGCCGACAATAAAGTCAGCTATAAGCACCTGGCTGGAGGGGTGGAAATTATTTCTGCCATCCCAACTTCTCCGAGCGGAAAAATGTTGCGGCGTGTTCTCCGTGACGAAGCTAAAGTGCTCAGAAAGTTTAAGTCTAAGCTGTAAATGTATAAATGTCAATGTCATGTGGAATGATTATCAAGGCAATACCCCGTATTTTGGACCCATATAATACACTGGCTTTGTACAGCCCACGGCCGGCGCATGGGGCCGGCCATGTGGTGTACATAATATGCTTGTCATTTATACTCTGGGGTTCTTGTGAATTCGTTTGGTCATACCAATACTTCAAGATTGGCTAGCGACACTAAAGAGATACACGAGTATGCAACGATAAGAAAATTTTTAGGCACTGAGAATGTAGGCTGCCGATGACGCAGGCGTGGAGGGAAGAAAGACAAAGGCTTCGGTCAAGTAGTTTTGGGGAAAGTAATAGACTTCTTGAGTCGTAAGTTGTCAAGCAGATGCCCCCTGTTAAGATGGAGAAGGTTAAACTCAACCAACTACAAATGACTAGTTGATAGGACGAGTGAGTAGACAGACTGAATGAACCTGTCTACACCCGGAAGCATCCGTCGAGAGCAGCACCCCGGCTAACACTGGACCTCTCAGTCAGACTAACCAGGAGGGCACAACCTTAACGACGTTCAACGGGAAGCGTCGGCCCGCTCATTCGCGAGCGGATGTGAGCAATCCCGTGGCCCTCGGCAACAACGCATGGAATCTGATACAACGAGCGCGGTTGTGAGATGACCAGATCGCCCACTTGTCCACACCTGCAGATATGAACTAGAGGGCGGTGATGGGATGATAACGTGAAATAAGTGAAATAAATGTAAAAGAACAAACAGATCCTGAGCAAAAACCTCAGAAGCCTCAAAAACTTTCGCTGGAAGCAGGATTTGAACCTACGCGGTGAAACACCAAGTGATAGTGGAAATTCAAATCACTCGCCTTAACGACTCGGCCATCCCAGCTCGTTATCAGTGGAATCGTCTACTCATATAGGTGGTGTAGTATAGAAGATTGGGTCAGCTGAAGACGATTTAGGAATTCCGACCAAAGCAGTCTACGGCAAATACTCTACATACATTACTGTACAAATTAGTTTCTACATGGCATTAAACCCTCGAAGTCACCTTATGCCGATGAACCTCATTGTCCCTCTAGCTTCCACTTGGTCATAGCGTCTCGTGTCTCATCGAGAAGATTGAATCCCATATCGTCTGTGCTGCCAAAACCCGTCTGCTCGCTCAACAAACAACATCCCCTTGACAGACTCTCCTCTTTTCGATCAATGGAAATCACCATAAGTTTCTGGTTACATTCACTCTTGTATCTTCGTAGTGCTGTCGCCATAATTTTGTCGTAACGTTCAAAGAAGTGTTCAGCGGCGCAAACCGCCTCTTCTGAACGTACATCTGAGTTTGAATCGTTACACTCCTCAGCGAGAGTCATGATAAGAGGATCAGCTTCCGCTGGACCAACAGGATGCCTAAATGACCAGCCGTTTTGGTGCGAATTGACTTCATCGATAAACGTTTCCATAAGGTGGTACAGAAGGGAGAACGAAATGCGTCCAACTCCTGACATGTGCCGACGAGTACCAGGGATTGTGGTATCCAGCACAGCCTGCTATTCCTAAGAACCTTGGCCAGGGTAGAAAGGTAGATAAACTGACCGTAACTCCCTTCACAACATAGTCCAAGCCTTGCAGCCACATTAGATATAACTCCACCTCAAGCATCTTCGTGGCTGCTTGTTGAATTTCAGCTTTGACAGTCAATTTAACTTGGTCGATAATCTCTTGTGCGACCCGAAGGACATCCTGATCGCCTGTTTTGACAATGAAACCAGGTGAAGCCTGTAAACAGACATAAAGGACATACGTCTGAGCCTTTTCATATTTTTAAAGTCATCGATGGCCGTATGATCCTTGGAATCGAATATCCGTCGTCGCACAAGTTCATCAAGATCACAATCAGGCTTTTCAGCTAAGACCTTGTCTTAACAGGCTGTCTGACAGATTCCAAACCACTCACCGAGTATACCCCTTCCTCTTCCTTGTCGCGCCCACTTTCGAGGTGGGGTCAAAGGTGCCTCCGTGTCGCTCGAGCTAACGGCATCCCGACGTCGTTTTAGAGTATATGTAACGCGAGAAGAGGAAGAAGAGGAAGAAGACATGGTGTAGAGGGAGGCAAGGAGCTAGTGTTATGTCACAACGACATAACAATGCGAGTGACAATTTATCAACAAATCAACAAATAAACGCGACGTGATTGTTAAGGGGAGGTTGTGGCGCGTCGCGTTTAATCACGTGGTATTAACGCATTCATCAGTTCTAGACCGTCACGTCGCGAAACTTAAATACAGCCACAAATGCAATGGTTCAAGTTGATCTTACTGGGGATGCAAGATATGTATACTGTTTTGAAATTATGACATGGTCTGACTTCAATCATGTCGAGGAGGATTCTAGAGCGCAACCATCTTAATCGGCACTGATTGAGCGACTCCGGAATGTTACCTTCAGGGCGTTTCAGTGGTGACACATCTTATCTTTATGATTATAATCTTAATTTAAAATCGTCTCTGTATCACCCGCGATTGAATCTATCAATCCATTGGCACAGCGGAAGTTTTCTCGCAGACAAAGCCAAGACAAAGCACGCTGATAAATCAACCATCGAATTTCGCTCTCAGACGCACCCACAGTGACCGGGTATCCCTGAAAACTCATCCATTGGGTGTTCAACTGAGCTTATCCTTAGATTCTCCGTGTTCTAAGTTTTAAGGGCCAATATCTAGATCCTAGACAACAATTAAGCATAAGTACTTTTACCTCACCCGCCTAGATCATTTCCTGGGCTATGTAAATGTCTTCAATCGCATATGTCTGATGGCTCATGATCGCTGCAGATATGGCAAAATTGTACTTAAAAAGATCCTTGACCCTTGAGCGCTCAAGCGCTAAGCCCTGGCCTTTGGACATTAATATTCTTCTTCGTACTTTGTGAAGAAACGCGATTCCGTACATCTGTTTATCAGAAGACAATCCGATGACATCACATCGGAGATTTCGTTCCTTAAAACGACAAAACGATTGCTACTCCGGGTCTACGAGTCTGTTTGTTGAGCCCAGACGTTTCCAATTGAGATTCATTCCCTCAAAGACTTATCCAAGATCATCTAGACTTATCCAGCATTCGCTCTAGTCCTCATTGGCTACCTTAATCCTGCCACATGATACTCCGGGTTTCCAGAAGATTTAAGCTCTCTTGACCAATTGTTTTCCTGGAGTTGACATCGTGGCTCTGTCCTTAATTCTCAGAAACAGCCTCACTGGCCTCCACTGACCAACGATTGTTGGATGTTCACTATCCCCACTAGGACTGGTTTTGGGGCAGATAACAAATTAACCGCAAGCACGTTCTTAATTTATATCGACACGAACTTTTACACACATAAATTGGCTTCGTGAGTTCGGTTGATTCTGGTTCAATTTGCCACTTGAAAGATAAAGGGATATAATACGAATGCAGTACGTTCACACAGCTATATATCAGGATTCGTTTGTTCCATCTTAGGCATTACATTACCCCCATGGCTGAAACATAGACGACTAAGATCGAGTGCTGCCTGCTGTGGTGAATGGTCACGGCACACCTAGGGCCTCGCGCTAGAACTGAGATAAGCCAGGAAAAAACACTTCTTCTCCAATGAAACAATATCGAAGCGGTTGTCAACGAGAGTGATGGAAAGTTTGAATTGTCCCTGTAGCCTGTGGGAGTCATATTGACAAGTCACCGATACGTACTAGGAATGAAAGATTTGAAGAGCTTTCTGTGAAGACCTTCACGACGGTCTCTGTACGGACATCAGGCTACTCCCTAGAACTTGAGTATTCGCCTAAGAGAACACCTATTAAATAAAAGATAAAATATTGAGACTTAATAGATCATGTCCAAGGTAACGTCCTACCGGCCCGTGCGCCGGTTAACCCTATGCCTTACGTAAACTGCTTTCGTTGCTCAGGCTCTCATCTCTCACTTCACTCCTTTATTCCTCAGGGCCATCTGTTCTTCTTGTTATAATGGATGCTCGACTTCGACGCGTCAATAAGGAAATAAGTGGTATGTAGGTTACTTCGGTCCTGCATCTACATCATTCATCTGAGAATTCCAAGACTGCAAAAACGACAAGACATCGAACATCAAGATCGACCTCATCGACGATAACCCCTTCCATCTAAAGGGATCATTCCCTGGTCCAGACGGAACGCCCTATGAGGGTGGTACATTTGAAGTCGTGAGTGATACTATTCGCACGATCAAGGTGGCGCTAGACTCGTGGACTTCGATCAGGATATAGCTATTCCCGAAGGCTACCCTTTCCAACCCGTGAAGATGAAGTTCATTACGAAAGTCTACCATCCAAATGTCTCTTCTGCATCGGGTGCCATTTGTCTTGACATTCTCAAAGATGCTTGGTCGCCGGTTCTTACTCTCAAGTCGACCCTAATTTCACTCCAAAGTCTTCTGTGCTCGCCAGAGCCTAATGATCCTCAAGATGCAGAAGTTGCGAAGCACTTTACTACGAGCAAGAACAGTTTTGACACGACTGCGACCTATTGGACTCAGATGTACGCGGGTGGGCCAGGTCCTAAAGGCGGGAAAGCCAACGTGCAGAATGAAATTGCGCTTGCGGGTTTGGAGTCGTCAGATGTCGAGCAGTTCACGTCTTTAGGCTTTGACAAACGAAAAGTTGTATGTGTATTTGTCTCCTGCTTCTACTCTGCGTTTCATTCGTTATCTAGATCGATGTGTTACGGAGACTGAATTATCGTGGCGCAAATGTCGCAAAAATTACTGAGGACAGGGTCGTTGAGGAGCTATTGAGATGAGATGTACAGTAAAGTTTTAATTATGGGTTAAATGGTGTCATAGTCATAATATAAAGACTAGGATTGTATTTGATTTCTCAGTCATTACATGACATCAAACAACGAAATTGTCTATTTTCAACCAGGGACATCTGCTGTTTTCTGTCTGTCCATGCTCTTGCAGTTTTCTGCAGGCCTTGGGAAAACTACCCTGTTACCACTTGTTTGCGAAATGCCTTTGCCTGTCTCAGCGCATTGATACATAATACTTAGGATTCGGGTAGTCCGCTCGTCCTTCGCATTGCGTCACTTTGTCAATCCAACAACTACGTTGACAAGGTCACTCCTATCGATTCTCAATCTCGACGTTTTGACAGTTACTATCACCATGTCCTTGTGCCGCTAGACTTCGTGTTTTCTTAGAGAAAAAACGGGTATTTCATACATTGTCTACGATACTTTGCCGATGCCGGTTTCGGCCAGAGAAGATAAGATGCTAATTCCTAGAGCAAAACATCTGATGTATCTAAGGAACCTAAGGAACGTCGATTCTGCACGTTCAGTATCACCCCTTGGATTATTTCCTACGAGTCAGAGTAGTCACGTTGTTCGTTCCTTCTATGAACACTTTGGCCCCCCAATGACTCTTTCCGCGCTTGCGGGTGAATCTCGTCCGATGGGTCGGTTAGCTATACGTTTTCCAATGTTTTTTTTTTCTTCAGAACATTTTACTCGCAGAATATCATCTAATTTCCCAGATGGTGGATGTCGGGAGGTTTACTGAACAGCATGGACTTATAAAAGAACTCGAACGGTCGATGTTTGAAAAGTACATGTTTTCCGAATAGAAATGACAAAGTACTTGAGCGTCCAAACGATGTGCTCATCGGGTCAACAGCTATGTTCAGGCAGATCAACCTGCGACTTCTATATGCATGTCAGATGATGATCGCGAATTGCACAAGACGCGAAAAAATGGTAAAGAACTAAAATATATTTATCGTTACACGATTTGGCAAGGAAACAGTCATAGATCTATTCTTATCTCAAGAGTGATCATAAACTCCCTCTATGTCGGAGTAAGGCTCTGGTTAC